ATGTGGGTAGATACTTACTCTTCTGGTGTCTCTTTGTGGAGGAGGCACATACTACCTGTGTCTAGTCAGCTATCTTGGTCTCTCCCTTCTTTTCTATCAATTTAGCTATGGTCTATCAATTTTGTTAATGTTTTCAAAGAACTAGTTTTTCATTTCATTGATCCTTTGTATTATTATTTTTTGCTTCAATTTCATTTAGTTTTTCTCTGATCTTTGTTATTTCCTTTCTTCTGCTTGCTTTTGGTTTTGTCTGCTCTTGTTTTTCTAGTTCCTTGAGGTGTGATGTTAGGTTGTTAATTTTTATCTTTATGACTTTTTGATGCAAGAGTTTAGTGCTATAATCTTCCCTCTTAGCACTTCTTTTGCTGTATCCCAGAGATTTTATTAAGTTGTGTCAATATTATCATTTCCTTTTGAAAAATTTTAAAATTTCCATCTTGGTTTCTTTGCTGATCTAAAAATCATTGAGGAGCAAGTTGTTTAATTTCCATGTATTTGTATCACTTTGAGAGTTCTTCCTGGAGTTGATTTCCAATTTTTTTCTGCTGTGGTCTAAAAAGGTACTTGATATGATTTCTATTTCGTAAAATTGATCAGGACTGGTTTTTTTGGCCGAACATATGGTCTATCTTGGAAATTGTTCCATGTGTTGATGAGAAGAATGTATATTCTGAAGTTTTTGAGTAGAATGTTCTGTAAATATCTGTTAGATCCATTTTTTTCTAGAGTTCAGTTTAAGTCTAAAGTTTCTTCATTGATTTTCTGCCTTGATGATCCATCTCATGCTGTCAATGGAGTATTTAAGTTCCCCCTTATTGTATCCTTGTCCTTCTCTTTTCTTAGGTCTGGTAGTATTTATTTTATGAATCTGGGAGCTCCAGTGTTAGTTGCATATATATTTAAGATTGTTATATCTTCTTGTTGAATTGATCCCTTTATCATTATATAGTGACCTTCTTTGTCTTTTTTTACTGTTTTGATTTAAGTCTGTTTCATCTGATATAAGTGTAGTTATTCTTGCTTGCTTTTGATTTACCTTTATGTGGAATATTTTTTTCCACCCCTTTACTTTGAGTCTATAAATATCTTTATGAGTTAAGTGGATCTTTTGAAGGTAGCAGATATTTGGATTTTTAATCTATTTTGCCAATCTGTATCTTTTAAGTGGGGCATTTAGGCCATTTTAATTCAAAGTTAGTATTGATATGTGAGATAGTGTTCTAGTCATCATGTTAGTTGTTATCTCGTTGCTTTGTATTCCCAGTTTTATTATGGTGTTATAAACCCCTGTGAATTTTATACTTTAGAGTGTTTTTATACTTGCATGTATCGACCCTTTGTTTTGATGTTTAGAACTCTTTTGAGCATTTCTTGTAGGGCTGGTCTAGTGGTGACACATATGGCAATGTTTGTTGGATTGTTTATGGATTCATCTTAACAGTTTTCTGGATTGTTTTTACATTTGTGTAAATAATATTCTTAATAAATTTAGTAATTTGGTGCACAAATCACTTGAAACATCAACAGCTCTGAGATCTTGTGAAGTTCTCTTCATTTTGAGCTATAATAATAAAATAATCTATTTGAACATCATATACATTACTAGATAAATAATAATACCAGAAGATACTTCTATAATGCTCTTCTTATACTAAGCACTGTTCTAAGCACTTTACATATATTAACTTGTTTGTTTTTGACAGCACTTTGAGATCTGTTCTACTAGTATCCCCGTTTTTATACAGGAAGGAACTTGGGGTCAGAGAGGTTAAGTGGCTGCTGAATGATGCATAGCTAATAAATAGCAAACTGGAAGTTAAACTAGGTTGTCAGACTATGTTCTTAACCACCAAGTTCTATCAAAAAGAAGTAGAGAAGCAAAATTATATTCTGAGACTATTTTTGTATATTGCAGAATCCAAGTGCTGTGGTCTCAATGTTTGTCTCCCCAGAAAATTCATATGTTGAAATCTTAACACTCTAGTTGATGATATCAAGATGTGGGGCCTTTAGAGAGGTGATTATATTATGAGAGTGAAACCCTCATGAATGGGACTAATGTCCTTATAAGAGAGGCCCAAGGGAGCTTGTTTTCCCCTTCAATCCACGTGAGGATGCAACCAGAAGATGCCATCTGTGGACCAGGAGATAGGCCCTCAGCAGATACCAACATCTGCCATGCCTCGATCTTAGACTTAGCCTCTAGAACTGTTAGAAATAAATTTCTGTTGTTTATAAACTACCCAGTTTATGGTATTTTGTTATAGCAGCCTGATTGGACTAAGACATTACATTTTGCTTTGTTTTTCTTTTTCCCTCTCTACAAATCTAGCAACATATACCATCTGCTGAAATGATTTTTTGTCTTTTTTATTATCAGTGTAGTTCTACTTTTCATGTTATGAAAGTAAAAAGCACTCATGACTTTCGTATAATAGAGCAATTATATTTATTGAGAGATACATTTTATAACAAATTGTATTACTGCAAATGTCTAAAAACAGCAACACAGTTTTAGAATTCTTTCATTTATGAGTTTATCTGCCTGGAGACAAAAACCAAAACCAATAGAAAAACAAAAAGAAAAACCAACACAGACACCCTTGGGCTGAAGAGAAGAGCTAGCCAAGGGCAGATTTTTTCAAAAAAATTTATATTTGAAAATAATTGTCAACTTACAGAACAGTTTCAGGAATCAGACTAATTAAGAAAAAAACACATACCTTTAACACAGATTTCTCTATTATTAAATTTTACCCCATTTGCCTTATTAATTGCTATTTTTGTTTTTATGTATGTGTGTACTTTCACACACACAAACACACACAAATATGTTTCTGAATTTTTTGAGAGTAAATTGCATATGTTATGGCCCATTACCTCAAAATAATTTAGTGTGTATTTTCCAAGAATAGGAATATTCTTTTACTTAACTACAGCATGCTTTTTTTCTGATTTGCCATCTATATTCCAATTTGCCAATTGACCTAATATTGTCCTTTTGGAACATTTATTTTACCTCTAGTATAGGATTCAGTCTAGTATCACTTGCTGCATTTAGTTGTCATGTATTTTTAGTATAATTTAATCTAAACATTTCCACAGCCTTTCTTTCTCTTCTATGACATTGACATTTTTGAAGAATTGAGTCAATACCCCCCTCCATTTTTTTTTTAACAGAACATTCTTCATTTGGAATTTGTCTGATATTTCCTTATGATCAGACTCAGGTATGGATTTCAGGCCAGAATATTATATAAGTGATGTTGCTTCCTTTTCACGATATCATTTTTGAGGGCATGTGTTGTTCGTCTGCCCTTTATTGGTGAGATTAATTTTGATAACCTAGTCAAGGTGTTGTCCAATTTTTCCACTACACAATTATCATTTTTTCTCTTGCAACAAATAGGCAATCTGTGAGGACATAGTTTAAGACTAAACTAACATCCTGCTCCTAACCAAAATTTCCCTGTAGCTTCAGCATCCATTGATAATTCTTGTTGAGTGATATTTACTATGAAGCTGAAAAATGATGGTTTTCAAATTCTAGAACTCCTTCCACATTTACCAATTGGCCATGGCATTCTACTATAAGGAAAACACCTCTTTTTCATCTATCTATCTATCTATCTATCTATCTACCTATCATCTATCAATCATCTATTATCTATCATTATATCAATATGGGTTCAGGCATTCCTATTTTTTCCCCAATGGTTTATAAATTATGTTTTTTTATTTTGCACTCAAATTGTCACAGGTTTGGCCAGTGGGAACCCCTTCAAGCTGCCTCCATATTTTGGTGACATCTCTCTATTATTTTTTGAATATTTATCTACTTTCTGTTGTAACAATATATTTCAGATTCATCTTGTACTACCCTGCCCTTGCTTTGGAATCAGCCATTTGTCCAAGGAACCCTGGTTCCCTTTAGTGGAGAATGATACTAGACACTAAGATCTTAGTGCTAGGTATGCTCATTCCTACTGAGGTGTCTGTGCTTCTAAGCTTTTCTGGCAGATAGAGCTAAGAAATCCATGCTGGTTATACACATATACATACACATAAATACATGTAAACTTCACATGCATATATGCATTCAGGCATGCATGTATAATTATACATGCATATGTACATACTTATCTATGGTTTAGAAACTATGAATTTACATCAATTTCATTCCATTCCCACATGGTTCTTTCTTGCCTTCCCTCGTTCCATATTTGTATGTTCATTTGTCCACAGTGAACACTCTGGCTCTCATCTACATCAACACATTTTCTCATTTTCTCAGTCATGTTATCCATCTGAAATAGTTTCATTATTACTTGGGCACTGTGGTCTTCTCTCCCCGCCTGTCAAAAATTACTGGCCCCAATAATTCTATGACTAGTTATTTATTCAAAAGAAAGGAACTTAGATGTCTGCAAAAAGTCTTGTATAAGAATGTTTGTAGCAGTTTTATTCATAATAGCCAAAAACTGGAAACAGCCCAATTGTCCTAACAGAAGAATGGGTAAGTAAACTGTGATATAGTTATACAGTGGAATAGTACTTGGCAATAAAAAGGAACAAATTACTGCTCCATGCAACAATATGGATGAATCTCAAAAACATGCTGAATTTAAAAAGACAAAGAGAAAAGAATATATAATGTATAAGTCCATTTATATGAATAAGCAAAACTAATCTATGACGATAGAAACCAAATCACTACTTGCTTTTCGTGGGAGTAAAACAGGTCAGGACATTGGGAGGGGGTATAAAAAAACTTTCTGGAATTAAGAAATATTTTTTATCTTGATCAGGTTGTGAGTTCTACAGGTACATGCATTTGTCACAATGTATTGAACTCTACCCTTAATATCTGTGCATTTCACTGTCTATAAATTACTCCTCAATTTTTTAAAAAATTGGCTGGAACAGAGACTGCCCCATTTAGCTGAGATTATAACTCTTCAATTTAAAATAGCTCCTTCTCCTGGATTGTCTCATTTGTGATTTGAGTTTGCTACCATGATCAATACCTTTACTTCCTTTTTCTAACCTATTATTTCCTTTTTATTATCATTTCAAGTATACAAAGTACAACATAGGTTAGAATTTCACAGTTAATTAAATGACATTATCCAACTACTTAGGTTTCGTCAATATGTATGTTTTAATAGAGTAATGACATACATACAAATCACAAATGTTTAAATAACACTGAATTTAAAATTAATCCTCAGTGTAAGACTTTGTCTATCTGACATATTCAAACGACAGCAAAACAAACAAACATTTGTATTCAGCTTGGGCCAATAGAAGCAACTGATTTCCAACATTAAATTATCAAAACCACTCAATGAGAAAATGATTTTCTCAGACCTTCTCATAGATTCTGGTGCAGACCACGCCCTTCATCATACATTCCTTAAAAAAGAGAGAGATTAATTATCTCCGACTCAAACCAGAGAACATCAGATTTGTAATAAAAATAGAAATGCAAAATAAACTCATCAGATTAATTTAAAAAGGAATAAAATATCAGTATGTCAGTCTCCAGTACTTCACAATTATGACCACTGAAATAGGAGTAAAAGTTTAAAAGTTGGTCGATGTTATGTTACTGTAAAGGACTTTTTTAAGGGTAAGTTTTTATGCATAATTTGCATGTAATTTAAATCTACTAAAACATTGGTTTTCAAAACTATCTGCACATTTGCATTTTATGGGGAACATTTAAATACACTGATGGCTACTCCACTCCCAAGAGACTTGCATTCAATTGACCTGTGTTGGGGCCTCCATACTGGTAGTTACTCCCCATGTAAATCTGTTTTGCAACAAGGGCTAAGATCCACTGTACTAAAGAAAAAAACATTCAAAACATTACATGAATCTATTTATAGTCCATGAATGTGTTAATTAGTAAACCCAGAGCCTCAACCTTAAAAAAAATTGTTAGAGGTCATTACATATAATCTTTGTGAACATTCTTATCCGTTGACTGAAAGAGGTCTCCAATGATCTCAGCTTTCATTATTGACATGGTTTAGTCTAAGTTACCATGGCGTCTTGAAAGCAAAATGGTTAGATGTCTGTGAATATCTGCAAGTGAGCCTTTTAGAGTGTATTTTGCTTTTAAAATTTAGACTCTCCAAACTAGTGAGATTTATCCAAATTTTCTTTAACTTTACTACCATTTTTAGGTATTCTTATTTCTAAAATGACAAATTGGCTTTTTTATTTCTAAAATCTTGGGCCATTATTTAAAATACTTGGAGAAGAATCTTTTATGGTTTAAATATCACTCAAGTGTTCACTCTGACTCTATTCCTAGCCATTTTTATCTATTTATATTTCAAAGAACAAAGAGAATTTTGAAAATAATATAATAAAATTCTTTATATTACTATTATTTCTCTATTTAGAAGTAAAAATACTCTTACCACTACCATTTTCCCATTCACCAACTTCCTTTTTATGGTTGTCTCTTTGCCATCCCATTTCTGTACTTGATTCAATGAGCCTCTCTGCAGGGTCACAACGCTCTACAAAGACAAGTTCATGTAATTGACTTGCCTGGACTTCAGTTGATTAAAGAAGCAGTTCATTCAGTATTGAACCATTTTCATAACAGATGTCTCATGAGGCACATTCATGTTCAACAGAATAGAGTCTACCCTTTTAAACACTAGCAGAAATAATTCTCTCTTTCAAGCAGTCTACTGTGCCAACTTTAAAGAAAAACATTAAAGATTACCTTGGTTTTTCTGTTGTCAGCTGTGGTTTCTTCAAATTCCTGGCCTAGCTTGAAGGAGATCTCTGTATTTTTAAAGGTGCTTTCAGTTCGTATAGTTATAATATCCCCTTTCTTGCTGATGATCACCCTGGGTTTGGCCAAATTTCCCAGTTTCCTGGTGGCTAACCCCACACCTGAAGATCAAGATAGTGTTAGAATTAAATTCACCAAGAGAGTGTCCCTGGAGAGACTATTGTGGACACATCGATGCCCAGTGGTGCCTTAGGTTTATAGATGGCAGGTAGTATCATTTACTACTAAGGGCCTTCTTACCCGTGGAATACATACCCAGGACTCAAACATTTTAGGTTTTGTTATTACAAGAGTAATAACAAAGATTTTCAAGGGAGAAGTGTTCAGCCAAAATAGTGTGAGTCATCCATTTTTATCACATCTAATTCTGCTCCCGATTGGAAATCACTAATTATAGATTTGTATGACTCATTCCAAATATTTTAGCTTGTACATACAAATACTATGGATATATACGAGAATATGACATATACATACTGTTTCATGATATTTTTTGCTCAGTAATATATTATGGATTTGGAGAAGAATTCCCTTCATATCTTTGATAGAAGCTCATTTCTGATATTTTGTGACTCCTATATCTAGCTACCAGGAAAAACTATGCATCTACCTTTGAGAACTGTACAATTACAAATGATCATATGTAAATAAGATGATTTTTTAAAACTCTTATGCATTTGAAAAACAAAAATTAGACTTGGGTTTTATTACTATTATTACCAAGACTATATAAATACATAGACAAGGACAAATTTCAAATAAGAAATACATAGAAAAGGACAAATTTCAAGTAAGAAATACTTAGTTTCCTAAGGCTCCAGTTGGAAGTCCCAATGCTTGGATTTACTTTTCCCTACTTAAAAAAAAAAAAACCTTTACGTATACATACACACATATACAATGCATACACACAAAATAAGAAGTTAAAAGTTATAGCTAATAAACTATTATTTCTTTTAATTCTGGTTAATATTTTGTTATTTTATATGATTGAGGACAATGTTTTTCAAACTGAATCATAATCTCTGGGGTGGAGCCTGAGAATCTGCATTTACCGAACCCCAGGGTGTTCTTATGCACTCTAGAATTTGAAAACAACAGAATTAGAGCATCCTTCATTGAGACTTTCCTTTATTTTGCTGCTTCTTCAGCTGTAAAGTCTTTAAATCTGCAGTATGGGTCTATCCCCATAAGTTCTCATAGTTTGCCAGCCAACAATGATACAACTTTGCTCGTTTTACCTGAAATAGAACCTTTTATACAAGCTCTCTGAACAGTTAAGTAAAGCTATCGGCACTTTGACAAGCATGGCAACCTGAGGTCACTGGAATCACTCTCTATTAACAGCTCTGGAAATTTCCAAAGACTCTTCACATTTGTTGTGTTCATATCTATGGAACATTCTCTAGAAATAGCATAAAATAAAGTCGTTGTAACTAATGATTGGGTTTTCCATTTCCATTTACTGCTCCAACTCCAGGAATGTCTGATGTTAATGAAATTGAATTTCAATTCATTGCCATAACCCTAGTTTTTTTTTCTCTCTCTCTGTCACTTCCCTAGGTTATGAACATCCTATTTTAGGAAGCATTTTTGTCTTTCAGACTCTTTGTCTCTACATGATTATGTAATAAGGGACAACCTAAGGATAGAGAGAGAAAACTTATAGTTTAACTAAAAATTAAATTTTAAATTGAGGTTTTCTAGTATCTGCAATATATTCAACTTCTTATTTTATGAGCACTTTAGTTGCTATAAAACTAACTCTCAGGAAAGCCAGAGAATGGGTTGACTAAGCTTATAAAATTTCTTTCCTATGGATCTATAACCATAAGTCTTTTGGTATGAAACCGCCTTTGAAATCAGTGGAGTTCTATGCATTTAAGTAGCTCTCATTTAAGTTAAAATCTATTAAAATTGCCATGAATAAAATTCAAATAAATGATCTGAATGACAATAACAGATTAATCCCTGAAGAGTTTTTTTACTTCAGCCTGTGTAAAGTTTTGCAGTCTCTTATTAAGGATATTAGAAGAAAATGTTGGGTAGTTTTCTCAGTCAGAACAACAAAGAGCATTTCTTACCCAGAGCTTTCATGTAATCATCAAAGTTCTCACTAGAGACAAGTTTCCAGGTACCCAGGAATCTGTTGCTCATTGTGGTAGGTGAGAGCTCAGCACAGTTCTAGATGGGATTCAGAGACTCAGATGAGATGCTGAGGCTGCAGAAGATTCTTTTCAAAGATATCCAAAGCATGTGACTCTCACAGAGATCCAATGGAGAAAGGCAGTGTCACCACTGGACAAGAAACGGCTCTTCAATCAACAGCTGCCCGTCCAGTGGGATAAAAGAAAACCCCACATAATGTTTCCTTTGTCTCCAAAAATTTTTATAAAAATGAATGAGAATACTATTTGAACCTTCAAAATTTTTTTGGTCTAGCCTACATTTATAAGAGTGCTTAGGTCCTTAATGCTCTGGAAAACACTCCATGAATTATATGATCATGAATGAGTGTAGGTGTGTGTGTTTAGGCATTTTGGTGACTTTCAATCCTGAATCTGCACAATGAAGAATTCTTATTGAAAAGGAAGAAAGAGAAAAATATGTCCATGAGTATTGTGATAACAGTCTCAAATATGTTGTGGGAGAGAAATGCAGGGGAGCAGTGTGAGCAAGTATTCATAGGTAAGGGAGGTTTGGCATAGTTCACATATCCCAGGCAGGCAGAGTAGGCAGACAATGAGATCAGTCTATTACAGTAGAGCACAGAAATTGTATTCATGTGATGGGACAAAAAATAGCACTGTAACATGCTCTTTAACCACAGCAAAGATTTTTATCTAAAAATAAACCTTAAGTCTGAACCAAACAGGTTCTTAGTTACTATAACAACTTTGTGTTTAAGTCATTTAAAATCCATCCACAGTTTTATAAAGACAGGATTTTCTGGCAGGGTGCAGTGGCTCACGCCTGTAATCCTGGCACTTGGGGAGGCTGAGGCCAGAGGATTGCTTGAGGCCAGGAGTTCAAGACCATCCTGAGCAAGAACGAGACAGCATCTCTACAAAAAATAGAAAAATTAGCCGGTCATGGTGGTATGAGCCTATAGTCCCAGATACTTGGGAGGCTGTGGCAGGAGGATCACTTGAGCCCAGGAATTTGAGGTTGCAGTGAGCTATGATGATGCCACTACACTCTAGCCTGGGTGATAGAGCAAGATCCTGTCTCAAAAAAAAAAAGATAGAGAGAATTTTCTATAAAAATAATACTAATGTATACTGAGAGCTCACTATGGGCCAGTCACTGTGCTAAGTGCTTAATACAGTGATTTCATTTAATCCTATTACTAACTTCAAGAGTTATATATTATTATTATATCCATTTACCAATGAGAAAAACTGTAGCTTAGGGAGGTTAGGTAACTTGCTCCCAAAACTTGAGTACAGAGAGGCAGAACTTGAACTCAACACTGTCCCCAGTGCCCAGACTCTGGACATTATCTTATGCTGTTCCTGCTATACTATACATGGGCAGAGGGGACAAAAATGCAAGTGATACTGATATCACCATGACTGGCTAGCAGTACTCATTCTCTTCTCAAAGATCAAGAGAAGTAAAAATCAAGAGATCCAGGCTACTACAGAGCCCAGTCTTTAACCAGGGAGACTAAAGGTAAATTTCCTCAGAACATAAGTGCTGCTCTTGGTAATGCCTAATTGCTTGCTCTATATAACACATCATGTAAATGTTCCTTACATATTGTCTACAAGTTACATCCGATTATATATTTGGAAAAGAAATAAGATAATCAATCATCATGTAGCAAATGAACAAAGAATTCATGATCCTCTACTTTGATGTCAAAGATTCGACTCAAATATTTTCAGTTATTCAATTGCAAAAATATTTATTGAAAGCTTACTAAGTGCCAAGCACTGTTCAAGGTGCTGGTTAAACATTGTCAAATCAAATTCCCTGCCCTCATAGAACTTATATTCCATTCATGATTCGATAAAGGCTTGAAGCAAGAAATTTTAATTCCACGGAATTTGAAATTATTTGCAAAATAGAAATATTGTGAGAATAATTGATGACAGGAAAAACACACCTAATACTAGAAGAAATAACCAATACAAAATGATCATTTTTTTAAACAATTGAGAAGATAATGAAAATAGACCTTAGGTTCCATACAAAGTGTAGAATTATTTTCTTCTAGATCTGTAAAGAATGATGATGGTATTTTGATAGGGATTGCATTAATTTTGTAGCTCACTTTAGGTAGTATGGACATTTTAATAATATTGATTCTGCCAATCCATGAGCATGGTAGAGTTTCCGTCTGTTTACATCTTCTACAATTTCTTTTCTCGGTGTTTCGTAGTTCTCTCTACACAGGTCTCTCATCTCCTTTGTTAAATATATTCCTAACTATTTAATTGTCTTTGATGCTATCGTGAAAGGTGTTGCATCTTTAATTTGATTTTCGGCTTGACTGTTATTGGCGCAGATGAATGCCACTGATTTGTGTGCATTCATTTTGTATGCTGATACTTTACTGAATTCATTTATCAATTCCAAGAGTCTCTTGGTTGAATCCTTGGGATTTTCTAGGTATAATATCATATCGTCAGCAAAGAGTGAGAGTTTGACCTCTTCTTCCCCCATTTGGACGCTCTTAATTCCCCTCTCTTGTCTGATTGCTCTGGCAAGGACTTCCAGTACTATGTTGAATAGAAGTGGAGATAGTGGGCAACCTTGTCTGGTTCCAGTTCTAATCGGGAATGCTTTCAATTTTTCCCCATTCAGTATGATATTGGCTGTGGGTTTATCATATATGGCTTTAATAATTTTAAGGTGTGATCCATATATGGCTATTTTGTTAAGAGTTTTTATCATAAAAGTATGCTGGATTTTGTCAAATGCTTTTTCTGCATCTATTGAGAGAATCATATGATCTTTGTTCTTGTTTTTATTTATGTGATGTATTTCATTTATAGATTTGCATATGTTGAACCATTCTTGCAACTCTGGGACAAAGCCCACTTGGTCAGGATGAATTATTTTTTTGATGTGCTGTGGAATTTGGTTTCTTAAGATTTTGTTGAGAATTTTGCATCTATATTCACGAGGGATATTGGTCTGTAGTATTCTTTATTTGTTGTGTCTTCCTGGCTTTGGTATCAAGGTGATATTAGCTTCATAGAATGAGCTGGGGAGGATACCATCCTTCTCAATGTTAAGCAAAAAGAACAAATTGTGAGCTATCAGTCTACCAGACTTTAAACTTTACTGCAAGGCTATAGTAACCAAAAAAGCATGGTACTGGCACAAGAACAGAAATATAGACTTTTGGAATAGGACTGAGAACCCAGATATAAAACCATCATCATATTGCCATCTAATCTTTGACAAAGCAGACAAAAATATACACTGCGGAAAAGACTCTCTATTCAATAAATGGTGCTGGGAAAATTGGATAACCACATGAAGAAGATTGAAACTGGATCACCACCTCTCACCTCTCACAAAAATCAACTCACGATAGATAACAGACTTCAACCTAAGGCATGAAACCTTAAGAATTCTAGAAGGAAAAGTTGGGAAAACTCTTATAGACGTCAGCCTAGGCAAAGAATTTATGAAGAAGAACCCAAAAGCAATCACCACAGCAACAAAAATAAATAAATGGGACCTGATCAAATTAAAAAGCTTCTGCACAGCCAAGGAAATTGTCATTAGTGTGAATAGACAACCTACAGAATGGGAGAAAATATTTGCCTGCTACATATCCAAATAAGGGCTGGCAAGAATCCATATAGAACTTCAGAAAATTAACAAGAAAAAATCAAACAGCCCTATCAAAAAGTGGACAAAGGACTTGAACCAAAACTTTTCAAAAGAAGATAGAATAATGGCCAGTAAACATATAAAAAAGTGCTCAACATCTCTAATTATTAGGGAAATGCAAATCAAAACCACAATGAGATATCACCTAACTCTAGTGAGAAAGGCCTTTATCAAAAAGTCCCAAAATAACAAATGCTGGCGTGGATGAGGAGATATAGAAACACTCTTACACTACTGGTGGGACTGCAAATTAGCACAACTCCTGTGGAAATTAATTTGGAGATATATCAAAGAACTAAAAATAGAAATACCATTTGGTCCAGCAATCCCACTACTAGGCATCTACCCAAAGGGAAAAAAAGACATACTATTCTAAAGACATTTGCAGTCAAATGTTTATGGTAGTACAATTCACAATTGCAAAGATGTGGAAACAACCCAAGTGCCCATGAATACATGAATGGATTAATAAAATGTGGTATATGTATATCATGGAATACTATTCAATTACAAAAAACAATAGTGAACTGGCACCTCTTATATTATCCTGGATAGAGCTGGAGCCCACGCTTTGATGTGAAGTATCACAAGAATGGAAAACAAGCACCTTGTATACTCGCCATCAAATTGGTACCAACTGATCAACACTAAGGTGCTCACATGGAAGTAATATTCATCGGGTGCCTGTCAGGTGGGAGGGAGGCAGTGGGGGTGGGTAAACTCACAACTAATGGGTGCGGAGCGCACTGTATGGGGGAAGGGCACACTTGTAGCCCTTGCTTGGGCAAGACAAAGGCATTATATGTAACCAAAATCTTTGTAGCTCCATAATATTCTGAAATTTAAAAAAAATTTAAAAAAAAACTAGACCTTAGAGCTTTCATTTCCAGCAGTGACAGATAAGGAATTAAACTAATTTCCCAACTGTGACATTTAGAAAAAAATGAACAAAATTAAAAAAAACAATCTTCAAGGCATCAGAGAGATAAAAAGGCAGAGCAAAATTAAGAGTAGGTTCGGGAAAGAAAGGAGAGTTCAGAGAGACAAGCCCAATATTTGGGGCTTCTGCTTCTCTAGGGATCTATGAATTCTGCAAGAGGCAGGTGAGAGTAAAAAAAATCTGGGAAACATTTGTGAAAATGGTTCAGGATTAGGAGAACAATGAGGGAGAGTCCTGGTTAATCATCACACTTTGACTTGGGACTTTGGGAGGCTGTGACACAGAAGTAATATAAATTGGAAATATATTAATACCTATGCTAGTATCAATTCAATTCTTAAAATTAGATTAATGTGTTCTGGGACAGCTAGTGAACCTAGCTACTAGTCAGAAACAAACATAAACCCTCTTCAGAGAAAGAAGATAATGTCACCCAAGGTCCAATTTATTTATATCATTTTTCATAAACATTGCTAATCAAAAGTAAATTAAAAAAAGAA